CTCCTAGGCCGTCGCCCCCCTTGGAGATGGGATCTCCAGGGCCGGCGCACCCCTAGGCCCCCTATATAAAGAGGGGGAAGGGAGGGCAGCCGCACCCTAGTCCCTGGCGCCTCCCTCTCCCCCGTACCACCTCTCCCTCTCGCTGAGCTGGGCGAAGCCCTGCCGAGATCACCGCTGCTTCCACCACCACGTCGTCGTGCTGCTGGATCTCCATCAACCTCTCATTCCCCCTTGCTGGATCAAGAAGGAGGAGACGTCTTCCCCAACCGTACGTGTGTTGAACGCGGAGGTGCTGCCCGTTCAGCACTAGGATCATCGGTGATTTGGATCACGACGAGTACGACTCCCTCAACCCCGTTCTCTTGAATGCTTCCGCTCGCGATCTACAAGGATATGTAGATGCACTCCTCTCTCTCGTCGCTAGATGAACTCCATAGATTGATCTTGGTGAAGCGTAGAAAATTTTTATTTTCTGCAACGTTCCCCAACACCTTCCCTATGAGCGCCCCTAAGCTGGCTAGGGTTTCCTCACCTCCCGCCACTGTTGCCGGTCTATCTTGTCTTTTGTGGCCTTAAGGCCATGGATGCACGGTGTATCCCAACCCTTACTAGCGGAAGGAGCACTGCTTTCTTTTTAGGTGTTTTTTCAGAGTTTGTTTATGAGTTGTGTCATGTTCAGGAAGCCGAGGCGGCGGCGACTCCCGGAAGATGGAATGAGGTTCTCCCTGCTTAGCCCCCATCCCGACAGTGTGTCCAACATCGTCTGAGGGCGTGTGCAGGTGTGACTTCGGCGGATCTCATGAGATTCCGTAGTGTTTGTCTTCGGCGGATCTCACATGATTCAGTCGGTGTTTGCCTTCGGTGGATCATCATGTATCTGGTCTTTGTTCATCTGCGTTCATGTGTCTGGAGGTTGGCTCCTTCTGATCTACGCTTCTCTTCGTCGATGGCGGTTGTTGTTCTGATGCGCTTGCTCTTTGGGGTCTTAGCACGACGACTTCTCAGCCGTCTACTACAACAAGGTTTGTCCAGCTCCGGTGAGAAATGGACGATGACGGTGACGCGCCTTCGGCTCGTTCCGGTGCTTTTAGTAGTAGCTAGGTGGCCTACAAAAATAGATTTAACTTTTGTTACTTCCGGTGCTATTTGTACTACCATGATGTTTGATGAATAATCAAAAGTTTTAGTTTAGAAAAAACGCTGCAGTACAAAAAATGAAAATGGGAAGAGAAAACCCATTTTTTTCTTGGAGAAAAGAAAGAGAGGAACCATTTGCCGGTTGGTACCCTCACCAATGGTGACCGGATCCGGGCCGTGTCGGATGCTTCTCAAGCGGAAAAGGAAAACACACTGGACGGCCGATATAAGCAGCGACTCCACCTCCTCCCCCACACACGACGACCACTTCGCCCACCACTCCCCACGCCCGCACCGGCAGCGCCAGTTCACCCACGAGCCCGACGTGCGTCGCCTCTCGCGCCGACGGTCGCGCGCGGCGCCAGACGCGGGGACCCCCACCTCGAGCAAGGCCGAAGCTGCCGCGAACTCCTCTCCTGCGCCAGCTCCCCGCATTGAGCCGCGCGGCTCCCGGCAAAACGCCACGCCGGGGCGGTCGCCGCCTGCCGTCGCGCCGGAGTCGGTGAGCGCTGATTTTCTATTCCGTTCGACCGCTGCGCTCGTCCGAGCCTGGAACCTTGCTCCGCGATGCCCCCACCGGATCTCCGGAGGGATTCGTGAGCCGCGTGGCTCTTGATTTGAACAGCCTTCGGCGCCGGATTTGCTTCTTTCTTGGTTTATTTCTCTGTCTGGATCATTGATATCTGGGAGTGGTTCCGCTTGGAGTTCCATCGCTCTGCTTGCGACCAGCGACCGGGATCTCTGGTTGAGCGGCATTGTTTCGTTTGTCTCTACACTAACCTTCTGTTTTCCTGATGGGGATTGGGCGTTTGGGGCTGTGGAATAGTGTATTAGTTCTAGTTTGTGATCCACATTCACGAATTTTGTAGCCCTGTTGTTCCCGTGAGCGCTTGATTTGCTGGTGCACTCTTGCTTGCCTTTTCCTTGTCGTCCACGGCGAGCTCTCCCTGTGATACGAGCAAGTTGGTTGCAGACTTGAATAGTATTAGGACTTTCGGGTCGGCGGTTTGGTTTGGTTGGCGATCATTTACAATCTGCATTTATGGAGGAATATTGCCCAGCGAACTAGTACTAATTTCTTCATTTAAGATGTTCGATGAACCAATTGGCCGTGTGCAGCAATTACTGGAAGTCCTACGCCTATCTAGTTGTTATTGGTTATTTTTTAGGCAACGATTAAGACTTGCTGATCTGCTATGCCATTTCATGTGAAGTAGTTAAGCAGCGTATCTTTTTAGATCTTTTTCGAGAATTTGGCTCTATTTATTACATTTTAAAAGAAAGAAAGATGAATTTTATTTACTCTGGTAGCACACCCCTGTCCTCCACAGTATAACTAAGTAGCAAATATTTTGATGAAGTTTCAAAGAAAAATATAAGATGGACGGGACGCCTAAGGTCTCTTATCAGTGGAGTCCTTTGGCACCTTCCTTGATTTCGACATCACATCCTATATGAAAATGAGAATGACGATTTGGTTCAGAAAGTTGCGTCTTCACCTTTTTGAATTAGACAGCACGTCTTGGAGGTGTGTATTCTTACTACTGCAAACCAGTATAAGCCCCCATTTTGTGTAGCGTTTCTTCTTCCGACGTGTTTGTTTTTAATTCCTTTATGCCTGAATTTGAATGCTGTATTTCTTCTGGCATCGACATTTTCCTCATTTTTCAGTCTTATGTGGACAGGCTTGTTTTGCAAACGTGGTTATGTAATTATTTGTGTCTTATCATTTCTCCAGGAATCAGATTAACAAATTAGAGGTATCCTGAAATGGGTGCCAAAGAGAATGGTGAAGTGAGAGATGAGAAGGGAGTTAGATCAGATTATGAACCATCCAGAGTTTCTGTTTCATCACAAGGTGAGGCTCATGGTAGTGAAGACAATAGAGCGAAAAGAGGTTCAGTAGTTCCAAAGAAGCTCTTGAAAAAAGAGACCAAAGAAAATAGCCCTCGCATGGCCAAAAGCAGCACAAGTCGTCAAGTTCAAAACAAGGTGCAACAGAAAGCACCAAACAACACTCAGAACAGATCACCAAAACCTAGGAAAGCAGCAATTAATGCTGCTAGAGCAATTGAAGTTAGAAGACCAGATATTGTGAAAATCCCTTCTCGCCCTCCATCAGAACTGTCCGAGGAGGCAGATGATATAGTTAGTGAAGCAGGAACCATTGATGATAGAGGCAATGAAGAGGCCAAAGAGATCGATGTGTTAGACGAAGCTCCACATTGCGATCAGAGTACTGGTACTGATGATGAAATTGCTGATATTGAAGAAAAAATTGTTGATGATGACAAAGCAATTTTACATCGGAGAAATGAGGAACTACAGTCAAAACTTGAGAAGATGGAGCAGGAACTTCGTGAAGTTGCTGCACTCGAAGTTTCTCTTTACTCTGTATTGCCTGAGCATGGAAGTTCAGCACATAAGTTGCATACCCCGGCTCGGCGTCTTTCTAGGCTGTACACTCATGCATCCAAGTTTTGGTCCCCGGATAGGAGAGCTTCAGCAGCAAAAAATACTGTGTCTGGTCTTGTTCTCGTTGTGAAATCCTGTAGTAATGATGCTTCAAGGTAAGATATGACTACACTTAATCTCACTTTTGAATTCAGCGTATGAGATGTGGCACAAGAATAAAGCTTCCCCCATTAACATTCTACTGTTGATGTAGGTTAACATACTGGCTGTCCAATACAGTTGTTCTCAGAGAGATAATTTCAAAATCTTTTGGCATCTCGCGTCAATCAACTCCAACCATGACGACTAAAAACTTAAATGGCAGTGCACCATGGTTTGATGGAAAATCCACACCCAGATCCATGCCAGTGCCATGGAAAAACAACTCCAACGGCAAGCAAACTGAACTTGCTTTCATACAGATAGCAGATAATTGGCAGGAAACCAGTACACTTTTGGCTGCATTAGAGAGGATCGAATCTTGGATATTTTCTCGGATTGTTGAGACAGTGTGGTGGCAGGTAATATTTTCCTTAGGCCATATATATAATCACTTGCTCCAAACTGGTCTTGCATTCCTAGTCAAGTGTTTCACAAATAAATACTCCCTCCGTTTGGAATTACTTGTCTCGGAAATGAATGTATCTAGAACTAAAATATGTCTAGATACATCCATTTCTGCGACAAGTAATTCCGAACGGAGGGAGTACTCTGCAGTGATTCTCTCAAGGACCTACTGTTCTCTAAATTTGTCTTCTTTCTCCACATTGTGGACTTCCTGAAGAATATTTCTTTTCCAGGCATTAACTCCTCATATGCAAACCCCGGCAGAAGGTTCGTCAACCCCAAAAGCTAGGAAAGTGTTAGGCCCTTCCTTGGGTGATCAGCAGCAAGGCACCTTCTCTGTTAACTTGTGGAAGGCTGCATTTCACGATGCATACAGCAGACTCTGCCCTCTTCGTGCTGGTGGGCATGAGTGTGGCTGTTTGCCAGTATTGGCAAAACTGGTATTGGTTGACATCTTTAGTTTAAAGAAAACATATTTATTATTTCTAATTTGTGTATTTGACGTGTTGTACTATTATCAGGTGATGGAGCAATGTGTAGCCCGTTTAGATGTTGCAATGTTTAATGCCATTCTTCGTGAATCAGCTAGTGAGATACCAACTGACCCTATATCTGACCCAATCGTTGACCCGAAAGTCCTCCCGATCCCAGCTGGTGAGCTAAGCTTTGGGTCAGGAGCGCAGCTGAAAAATTCTGTATGTACCTGATTCCAACTTTTGAGTGCACCCCGAAATAATTTTCCTATATTTTCTTTATCAAATTGTTTGTTAGGATGATGATTGTGGTTGAGATCAAAATTATTGTGCATTTTCACATATTATGAATGTGCTAGTCGATTTTATTATATTAAATGAATGTCTATGCAGATTGGAAATTGGTCGAGATGGTTGACGGATAACTTGGGCATTGATGCTGATGACCCTGAGGATGAAGGTTTCGTCATAGGAAATGGGAATGATGAAAGAATTGGTGCAGCTGAAGCAAAGTCTTTTAAGCTGCTTAATGAACTGAGCGATCTCCTGATGACCCCGAAGGACATGCTTATTGAAAAATCCATCAGGAAAGAGGTCAGTGTCCGCGCATAGCTCCAGACAAATTTATCGTACTGTTTTCTGTTGGATTGAGCTGTCGTTAAGCTTTTGCACTGTCTATCAGATCTGCCCTTCAGTCGGGCTTCCACTTGTAACAAGAATCCTGTGCAACTTCACTCCTGACGAGTTCTGCCCCGATCCTGTCCCTAGCATAGTGTTAGAGGAGCTGAATTCTGAGGTGTGGTTTCTCTCTCACGAAAATGTTTTGGGATTATATAGTTACAAGCATTATCATGCTGACATATCAAAGTGGCCGTATGCATCGTACATGCAGAGGCCGGGGAGTCCCCCCTTTTCGAAAAAAAAATGCTGACATATCAAACATTTGCGCAACAGACATGGTATTTGACACTGCACTTCATATTATGATGCAGAGCTTGCTCGAGCGTCACACCGCAAGACATGCGATCAGTGCATTCCCGTGCATCGCTGCTCCTATCGCGTACCGCGCCCCTTCCCAACTGGATGTGGAGGAGAAAGTGTCGGTAGCCGGAGGCAGCGCAAAGCTGGACAGGAGAGCCTCGATGGTCCAGAGGAGAGGGTACACCAGCGACGACGATCTAGATGACCTGGACTCACCCCTCGAGTCCCTGTTCGACAAGAGCGCTCCACCTTCGCCAGAAAACGGCGCCACGCCTTTCACTGCTCAGCAGAGAGGAGCTTCCTTGGAGAACGCCAGGTTTGAGCTCCTGAGAGAGGTATGGTCGGAGCGGCGCGGCAGCGGTCCGGTGAACTTGTGAAGATCACCTCTATAGTTACTCATTATTACATAAAAGAAAAAAGGGTTGGGAAACCCTGGAGAGGTGAAAACCCCGAAAGAAGTTGCTTTTGCAGCAGAACTAGGGCCCCTTGTATGATATGTTTGTACATCTCTATATGTTGTTTCTTTTTTCTGTAGTAGTGTATAGGACATAAAAGGACGGCACTATGGCCCCCTGGAGGCTAAAAAGATTTGGTCTATGTCCTTTGCCGATTCGTCAGCAGTTCTATACTGTTTCCTCCTACCGACGAATCTGACGAGCGCTTTCGTGTGAGCTGTCTCCACTATAATCTAAACATATCGATGGACGTGAAGATGCGAATGCGACGGCCCAACGGCAGCCGGTCGCCGTCGTCAGACGATTCGGACGGCCGCCGACGAAGGGGACTCGCCACCCACGCCTCCGGATGCTGCATAGGCCGCCGCACAATCGCATTGCTCCTGCAGCAGTAATGGGTGCAGCGGCGAGGGAGACTGTATTTGGCACGAGTGCACAGTGAGAGGTCTGGTCTGGTTGATGGTTGGCCGGCTCGTTCGTCGGACCAAAGATGGCCGCGTCAGGGTTCCACTCCGCCGACTGTCTAGCGAGAACAAGATAGAGAGCAGTGGCAGCGGTAGGTATCGGTGCCCCGACCCCCGCTACCACTGCCAAATCGCATTTTAGAAACACCGGCTTTGGAATCTATCGGTACTCAAGCCACATAAAGCAATGTTTAAAGGATTTTTAGAGGACTATTTTCTACAGTATTTTCTAAAGAAAATTACCATCGTCGTCTCATACACTTTTTTTTAAGAAAAAGGACAGCTTTATTGATTTGCAAAGCAGTTTTACACCGTTCACAAGACAGGGTAACAAAACTCTAGGAGGTTCATCGACCCATTTACAATCAGTTCTAGAGGTAACTAGCTATGCCGCGCGCGCGGCCGCACGCCGCCCCTCATCGATACGTTATGTGTATTATGTTATTTTCATTTTCTGTGAGAATTTAGACCTAAAATATTGTGCTTCTATGAACATAAGTTTGTACTCACGAAAAGGCAAGTCATGTACAAAAGCAATTTGAAAAGGTATATTTATTATCACCATGAATGATACATATTGCAAGATGGAAGGTACACATTGTCGCGCTAGTCCATGTGCCAGGATGAAATGTGATACGCGATAGTAATGTTGTGTTGTCATTCTTGTTAGAGTAGTCATTATGGTATACGACTTCTAGTCCAAGTCAGTTTTGTACTCGTACCTCAAGTCGGTTTGTACCCTCTTATATACTCTTGTATGCTGCACCAAACAATCAATAAGAAACAGCTTTATTCAGCTTTCATGGTATCAGATACCGGTCCCAGGGTTTAGGGTATGGCTCCGCCTACGCCACCGCCGCCGCCGCCGCCCGGCTACTTCGAGCGCCGGGCCGTGCTCATCGCCAAGGCTGCCAACGCCGCGGCCGCTTCTCTCTCGGCCCTCACCATAGCTCCACAAAACTACCCTGCACCCATCCTCGTCGCACCAATATCTCTTGCTGACACAATCTCCGACGTCAGCCCCTACATCCCCATAGTTCTTGATCTCGCCGCCCACAACTACTATCATTGGAGACATCTCTTCGATCTCCACCTCGGCCGCTGCAACCTGCGCTCGCATGTCGCCGCCAACTGTCTTCCCCGCCCCGACGATCCGCAATGGTTGAAAGATGATCTCGCGATCGTCCAGTGGTTCTACACCCGCATCACCACCGAGATCTTCAACATGCTCGATCACGACGGCGCCACCGCTGCCAACATCTGGCACTCCCTCCGTCAGCTCTTCCAAAGCAACACCGACGCTCGGAAAAACGCTCTCCACACCGAGCTTCGCAATATGGTGCAAGGAGACGCCCCGGTGAACCTGTTCTGTCAGCGCGTTAAGACCATTGGTGATGAGCTTCGCGAACTCGGTGACACAGTCAGCGACTCACAGCTAATCAACATCGTCGTCGTCGGCCTCAGCGAAGACTTTGACAAGCAAGCCTCGTTCATACCGATGATACGGCCTCCTCCTACCTTCGCTGAAGTTCGTCCCCTGCTACAACTCGCGGCGGAAACACAAGCTCGCAAGGACTCTCGCCCCAAGGTCTTTCATGCTGCGGCTCGTCCTCCTCCGCCGTCTACACCAGGGCCGCCTTCCATGCCGGCTCCTGCCACCGGGCCGTCCGCATCATCATCTGCTCAACTGCCCCCAGGCTGGCGTCCTAGTCCGAACTACCGCGGCAAAAACCCTATCTACATGCCGCCGTCGACTCGTTCGGTTCCGCCTACGACATCACCAGCACCGAGTCCTGCACCACCCACCAGTGCTCCATCTGCGGTTGCATGGCGGCCTCCTCATGATCCTTGGACGGGGCTCGTTCAGGCATGGCCCATGCCCTGGTACGCTCTGTCCGCCCTCGGTGCTCCGCCGGCATACTCAGGTGCCTGGCAACCCGGCCTTCGGCTGCCTACTGGTGCTCCCGGGGTTCTCAACCCCCGACAGTCGGCCAATGCCTATCACGCCGCCCCGACATATGCTCCTTATGGTCATTACACCACCGATGGCTGCGCCTACTACACACCTCAGCCGGCCCTGCTCCCAACGCCACCACCACCACAGCCGGCCAATGCCTCTCACGCCGTCCCGACGTATGCTCCTCATGGTCACTACTCCACCGACGGCGGCGCCTACTACACTTCCCAGCCAGCCCTACTGCCTTCACCATCGTATCCGCCGGCACTGCTCCCGACGCCACCCTCACCTGCGACGCCGAGCTGGGATCAAGCTGCTTTTCTCCAGGCCATGAATAACTTTGCTGCACAAGGAAACTCAGGTACGGATTGGATCTTTGATTCAGGGGCCTCTAGTCATATGTCTGCATCTAGTAATTGGTTATCATCTTGCACTAAATCTCCTTTCCCTTTCATTACCCTTGGAGATGGATCATCTGTTCCTATATATTGTGTTGGTCAGGCTCAACTTCCCTCTTCCACTAAACCTCTTTTACTCCGTGATGTTCTAGTTGCACCCGCCCTCATAAAAAATCTTATTTCTGTTCGCCAATTTACTTGCGACAATCTAGTTTCGGCTGAATTTGACCCTTTTGGTTTATCTGTGAAGGATTACCTGACCAAGGCCGAGATCGCTCGCTTCAATAGCTCCGGAGATCTTTATTATCTTAATGGAGTTCCTGCCGCCACCCCTCCAACATCCATGCTGGCCTCTGTCGATCTCTGGCATCGTCGCTTGGGCCATCCCAACCCTGCCGTCTTAGCTTCTATGCTTAGTGAATTTACCATACCATGTAATAGGGATTCCCATAATTCTGTGTTTTGCGAGTCATGTCAATTAGGCAAACATGTGCGTCTTCCCTTTAGTTCCTCTAGTTCTTGTAGCACTTGTCCCTTTGAATTAATACATTGTGATTTATGGACCTCTCCCATTGCAAGTGTTTCGGGTTTTAAATACTACCTTGTTATCCTAGATGATTTCACCCACTTTGTCTGGACTTTTCCTCCACGCAACAAATCCGAGGTCCATTCTCTTTTTCTTAATTTTCAACGATATGTGTCTGTTCACTTCTTCCTCCCAATTCGCTTTATCCAATGTGACAATGGTCGCGAGTTTGATAACATTAAAAATCGTACTTTCTTCTTACAACATGGCATCCTGCTTAGGTTCTCGTGTCCCTACACCTCCCCTCAAAATGGTAAAGCCGAACGTTCTCTTCGCACCCTCAATGATATAGTTCGCACTCTCCTCATTCAATCATCTATGCCTCCCAAGTTTTGGGCTGAAGCCCTCCACATGGCCACCTTCCTTCTAAATATTCGTCCTTCTAAAACTAAACCCAACACTACACCCTATTATTCCCTCTTTCTTTCCCACCCCGACTACTCCGCGGTTCGTGTTTTTGGCTGTCTCTGTTTTCCCAATGCCTACGCCACTTCTGCAAATAAATTGTCACCATACTCTATTCCATGTGCTTTTCTCGGCTTCTCTGACGAGCACAAAGGTTATCGCTGTCTCGACCTTCACACCGGACAACTCCATGTCTCTCGTCATGTCACGTTTGCTGAGCACATTTTTCCTTTCTCACAAAGCACTACTACACCATCCAACACCCGTAGCTCCGCAAACATTCCCTCTCCCCGTCCTTTCCAACTATATACTCCCCTACCTGCCGAACACAACATACCACCACCACCATTAACACCCACCATAGCCGATCCCAGCCCTACCCTCACCCCACCCGAGACGTCCCCAACACCCTCGACCCCTACTCCCTCCCCAACACCCCCGACCCCTACTCCTACTCCACCACCCAGCCCTGCTCCCACTCCACCACCAAGCCCTACTCCTTCGTCCGACTCTTCCGCTGCGCCGGACTCACCAGTACCCACCATACCCCCTCGTGCTATTCCTACAGCAGCCCCGGTTAATGATCATCGCATGCGTACTAGGGCCAAATCAGGATTTCATCAACCCCAAGACCGCCTAAACCTTCATACCTCTGTATCTCTCACTTCCCTTCCAAAGAATTACAAAACTGCTCTACTTGATCCCAATTGGGCCGCTGCCATGCAAGAAGAATATAATGCTTTACTTCAAAACAACACCTGGCAACTTGTTCCTCGTCCTCCCAATACAAATATTGTTTCTGGCAAATGGATTTTTCGCCAAAAGTTCCACTCCGATGGGAGCCTCTCACGATATAAAGCCAGGTGGGTTTGTCGTGGCTTTTCTCAGCAACAAGGAATTGATTACGAAGAAACCTTTTCTCCTGTTGTTAAACCTAGCACCATTCGCACCGTTCTTAGTGTTGATGTCTCCTTTTCCTGGCCTATTCACCAACTTGATGTTTAAAATGCTTTCCTCCATGGTTCCCTTCAAGAAACTGTCTACTGCCAGCAACCTTTGGGTTTTGAAAATCCATCCTTTCCAACTCATGTATGTCTTCTTCAGAAATCTCT